CTTCTTGTGTTCTCCAGCTCTCTCTAGGCTTCCCTCATGTTTCCTCCTAGTCACTCCCGTGTAGTTCCTATTGGTTTGTAGTAGTCCTCCTCATTAGTTGTTTATCTTTGCCCTTAGTTTTTAGGTTTAGTTACTTAGTGTTTTATGGGTTATGGTTTATCTTCCCCTCTGCTTAAGTTCTTTTCCCATTTATGTAGTTTATTAATGGCACCTGTTTCCCCTCTACACCTCACTCCTCACACCCATCACCTGTTCACCTGATTGCTCCCCTCTGTGTTTTAAAAACCCTTTCTTGTCCCTCAGTGATTATTGGTCCATTGTATGTGTCAGCGTTGTTCTGTCTCTCTCGAGTTTCTCCTAGTCCGTGCTCATGAGTGAGCTTCTGTTTTGTTTTTGAGCGTTCAGTGTGTTTTTGAGATTTAGTCTGGTTCTTGTGCTTTTGGACTTTTGGCGCATCCTTCTTAAAATAAAAGGAATTATTTTCTTTAACCATTCCTGCCTCGAGTCGTTCTGGGGATTCTGCATCTTGGGTCCAAACCTCCTGCTCTCAACGTGACATAACCAATGTAGCTCTGAGCTAACACGGAGCTAATCATTGACAGTTAAAGTACAAGCACAGGCTCAGGCCGCTGCGATTGGAGCCTGGCACCCTGGACGCTTACTCTGCTATGCTACGGTCGGAGATCAGCGGGACATTAGCTACATGCTAACCCGAAGCTAACCGAGTTTTTCAGGCACTTTTAGTGAGAGAATGTGGTATCACTGTCTCTCTGGTTTAATTTGTGTTAAATCAGAACTTTTAGCAGAGCTGCCCTGACACTCCAATGGCCAGAAGCGGAGGTCCTGTCTTCGAAATTTTTTAACATGTTCAAAAAATTTGTGACATTAAAACTGCAAAAACTTATGTTAAATTTCTGTTTAGTTCTGCAAGAAATAGATGTATGAAGTAACAGGCTGGAGATCACACAGTATTGGTCAATATTCAGAATTATTAACTTAATAGGTAATTGGCCAATGTAAAATGCAAAAATCAGATTTTTTTTATTCATCATCTTACCTTTTTCAAGTAAAAATAAAAAATTGTATTTTATGTGACATTTTCACAATCAGTGAACTCACTCTGTGGCTCAACTAGGGCTGCAGCTATCGAATATTTTTGTAATCGAGTACTCTATTGAATCTTTTATTGAATAATCGAGTACTCTAATAAATTATCCTTTTGTGTTTGTAAACCATTGTATCAAATAGTATGTTATAAAATACGAAAGACCTCTTAAAATGAGCAAGTAATTGCCAATTATTCTTCAAGTTTTATTCAAAATTAGTTTTCAAAACTTAAGCACTTCAACTTTACTTCAGTAAACAAATGCCTGCGCAAAAAATAAGTATACAACTTGAGCCGATTTCCCCCTCATGCGAGAATCTACTAGCCTGGCAAGCCAGACAAAAACAAGGAGGGAAACTGGTGAAGCAGCGCTGTGAGCGGCTGTGGCCCAAACAGCACCAGAACCGCTCACGGCGCATGCGCAAACATGGCTTGCCAGCTATTTCCCTATTAACACACGTCCGTTTTAATTTCTACACTTTTTTTCTCACACAACAACAAGGATTGTCGAGAAATCATGTTTGCCGTGGTTATGTCAAATTATACTGATCACAAAACATTTATTTACTTTCTTTCGTTTTCCTCCACCACTCATAAATACCCGCGTCCTCCTGCAGCAATCCCGAGGGACAACAGACATCAATAACAACACAATAAAAAGTCTGACGTGTTGTGTAAAAACTGCTATTTTTAGAACATTTTTAGATCCGACGTGTTGCTACCAGATGCACAATGTGAGCTGAACCTGAGTGCTACAAATGAAAAAGTCACAGTGTCTGCAGAATATATAGTGGACCTCTGAGTCCGCTTGCAGAAGTAACTTTTACATGTGGATGTTTCCTGGTCAGGTGCTGCAGCATCGAGGATGTGGTGTTGTGGTAGGCTAAATCCGTTTTACAGTATTTACACTGGACTACGTTTTCCGCCTTACGACGTGAAAAATGGTCCCACACTTTTGACATTTTCTGTCTTTTTCGCACTCCACCGGGGTCCACATTACAGTCGCTACTTGCGTGTGCATTCAGTGCAGTGTGTATGTACGTCACTTATTTTGGACCGGGAGAAACATGACCCCAGGCGATTGCAAAGCCATGAATTAATTAAACACGAATTAACCAAAGCCTCAAGGCAGATAATTTGACTCGAGGCTTTTTTGTACTGGAATTATTCGAGGTACTCGAGGAATCGTTTCAGCCCCAGGCTCAACTCTACACGGTTTGGGTGGTTGTTCCATTACAACTGAGAAATGCTTCTAGTGGGTAGGTCTAAAGCAGGGTGGCAACCTGACGCAAAGCATAATCACAAGGTGATCAGTACATGACATGAAAGTATCGTGAAGTTATCTGTATGTGACACAAAAACACTACTCAACATAACCACATGGTTGTGTGATTGAATATTCTGCTGCAGGGGCGTGTCCAGGGAGTGGCCTGGGGTAGCACATGCCACCCTTAGAATCTGATTGGCCACCCCAGGTGCCACCCCACTAAGTTCCAGTTTAAATTGACTTTACATTGTCGACAAAAGGCTTGAGTTGTAAACTCCAAAATAGTGTGTGGTTGCATGCACCTTTCACCTTGTTTTCTAGCCCAGGTGTGTAGTATTAGTATTAATATTAACATTTTTTCATACTCACATACAGAGTATTTAGAGTCCCACTCAACTCCAGTTGGTGGCAGTAATGCAACAAGAAGTGACTTGCTAACCACCACAAAAGTAGAAGATGAAGAGGAAAAAAAATATGGTGATTGTGCAATGTGAAACTCAAAAATTCACTAGAAAGCAAATAAATAAATAAACAATTTGTGTAAATAAATAAATAAGCATATCCATTGGTGCCACCCATAAATAGACAAGTGCCCCACATGGGCCACCCCATTTTAAAAGTCCTGGACACGGCTCTGTTCTGCTGAGTTGGTGGCTTTTTGTCAAATCCTGCAAAGACCTAGAAAAGGCTGCAGGCGAAAAATCCTGGAGCAACCAGTGACCACCCCCAACTAGCCAATCAGTGATTGATATTGCGTTTTCTACCTTGGAACAACATCGAAGAAGGCAAAACAAATGGGGCGGTAATAATAGACCTGCAACTAAAATAAACTGATTGAACCCTGCCTAGACAAGTAAAGCCATGCTTAGTAAGTACTAAATGAAAAGGCCTGTAAGTATCTCAGTTATGTCTTGTTTTTACCTCATTTAATCAAAGGTTGGTTGTAAGTTGCAACCCCCTCCCACCACCACCAATAATCTTCTCACATTACTTACACTTCTGCCTCAGAAACAAAATTAAGTTGAATTGCATTGCTGTGTGATGGCTCTGCAACGATTTCTGGAAGAAACTGCGTCAAACATATCCCTATCAAATACTTAAGAGACCTTATGGAAGCTCCTATACAATATCAGCCCTACTCTACATAAATCATGGTGGACTTGTGTCCTTGTAAAATCATCATCTTCCAAGACTTTTTGTTTAGTTTCTTATATTAGAATTTATCTTAAGTCCTCCACTGATTGCTACACTTCAGAGCTACCTACAAGCCCTGACACTCCCCCATCTGTCTTGTTACTGTCATGTGTGTGAAGCAACAAACCGATACTGGAAACAAACCCCTTTTCAGCGTTACATGATGGAGTTCTCTCTGCTCAGCCTTCAAATGCGATCAATTCTCCACCTTTTCTCTGACGTACTCATTTTTAACAGGAGAAAGCGCAATGGGGGGAAAAACAGTGATGCAAAAGTAATCCGAGTGTGAGCTGAGACAAATCCAGAGGCATGATGACGCTCTTGTTGAGTAACAGTGAACACACCCCAGCCTGCATGTTTCTATGCACTGTGATGTTCTGCACCACTAACTCACATTTAATATGAGAAAGGGAGGAAGACAGAAAAATACAGGCAGCTGGTGCATCATCAGCAAATGTCTGTGTTTTACTTTAGCAAGACAGAGGCTAAGTGCTGGACAAGACGCCCCGGGTCATCTTGCAGTGTAATGCTGACTCTAAACCTGAGTCATTGGGCTTGAATCTGACACATCAGGTGACAGGTGCAGCCTGACCCCAAGGTTTATAGTTATAACTGGGACTTTGATTTTCATCAACGCCACCAGAGCTGCCCCTGAGCCAGGCACTGGGCTATTACATAAAGCCACCCCTATGATCAGCAGGGGCTGACCTTGAGAGGAGGGCAGAGTCTGGTGAAGCACGGCTATATCAAATGCTAACAAAAGCGAATGAGGTTTTAATTCTGGCTAATCTGACAGGTTTTTGTCTCATCTTGTTGTTGACTAGAATTCTGTGCAAGAGCGCGCACGTGCGTGTGTGCCTATGTGGGGGAGAAGCATCGTGGATGAGATGTGCTCATGTCTGCACTGATTAGAAAAAAGTAGCATCCCCTGAGGATGGGTTAGGAAGACACCCCCACCTCCTCTCTCTCCCTCTCTGTCACGCACACACACGCGCGTACAGACACTGCAACTCTAAACTAGCTGCAAGAGGAGGATGCAACACACATCTTGTCACGCCAAGCCACCCACCCCACGCAAGGGACAATTATAACCGAGAAAATGCAAGCAGCTACAGTGACATAAGCACAAACCAGCTGGCACCTGTGCTTATCACCTCTACACTTTAGATGCTGACTCAAAATGCCTGGTGTGTGTGTGTGTGTGTGTGTGTGTGTGTGTGTGTGTGTGTGTGTGTGTGTCATGTTTAGGTAAAAGGCACAAAAATACCACAAGGATTGGATCCAGCAGCTGTGTTTATTAAAAAAGAAAAACGCTAATATGAACACAATCAATCACTCGGGAAATTAAAAGGATGACGCACCAGGTTGCATCATGCCAGTATGAAAAATATTACAATAAAATGCAGTTTTCTGTCAATAAAACATCCATCCTACCTCGTGAGCGAAGTGAAAGAAGGAAGTCCGGTGGTTTGATGTCTGGAGTGGTCACAGAAACCCCTGCGAGGACGAACCAAGAAAAGAAAGAATAAAAATATACCAAACGCTTTTTAAATGAGTCGCTCCGGGAAGATTCGAGGTTTTCTCCTATAAGTTTTGTTCCGTTCTAACGCGGTTTTAGTTCAACTGTATGAAGAATAAAAGTGAGGAAGTGCGCGGTGGAGGTCCGTAGGAAGATGCTGCTGAACACCAAGTGCTGCCTGGCTTCTGCTGCTGCTGCTGCTGCTGCTGAGCAGAGAGGAGACGCTCAGGCAGGGAGCGCTGCTGATGCTGCTGGCTGCGTTCATCAGTCTCTCTCTGCTCTACTCGCATCAAACACGACGAACCGCAACTTTTATTCCACACACGTTCATTTTTATTAATTTATTAATATTTTGGTATCCCCACTGGCAAGATTCCGATATAAGTCTTTTTTTTTTGTAGGACAGAAAGTGCCTTTTTTTAAGTGTCCGCACTTTCGCGCCACTGAGCGAAGAGCTAGTTAGCAAGCTAACGCATCAGGTTTAATGTAAACGAGTCGTTCAAGGTGAGTAAAGTAAGAGTTACTTTCACTAATTATCATTAAATCAAAGGGATGGTTGTCGCTAACTATATGCGTGTTATCTAACCTTAGATAAATAGTTAAAATAACATGAACATATTTTTAACCAGTGGGTGGCTAATTAGCTTAGTCCTGAAACTGAACTGTACAGAATATGTTTAAATCACTAATGTAATGTGTTGAGTTCATGAATAAACAATAATATCACAAAAAAAATCCAGGCTCATTGTGTTTATACAACTAGCTCATTGATTAAGAGTTCCATGTCTTCTGCTTAAATAACTTAAAATTTTTTGTCAGACATCAAAATAAGGATTTTCTTTTTCTGTGACAGTTTTCCAGTCTTAATGGCAGACGACTGCAGTTAAAACATCTCAAGGTAAAGATGTAATTTTGGTACACGACAACACAGAATATAACCCTAACTAGATAATCAGTGGCATCCCTAAACCAACTGCAAACTCAGTTAAGTCAGTGTGTGTAATATCAGAAAACCTTTGTTTTGGCTTGTTTTGGGGCAGCAGTAGCTCAACAGGTTGAGCGGGTTGTCCAGTAACCGGAAGGTTGCAGGTTCGGTCCTTGCTCCGGACAGAGAATTCTGCTGTTGTGTCCTTGGGCAAGACTCTTAACCCACCTTGCCTGCTGGTGGTGGTCGGAGGGACCGGTGGCGCCTGTGCTCGGCAGCCTCGCCTCTGTCAGTGCGCCCCAGGGCAGCTGTGGCTACATCGTAGCTCATCACCATCAGTGTGTGAATGTGTGTGTGAATGGATGAATACTACACTGTAGTGTAAAGCGCTTTGGAGTCCGTACTCTGAGAAGCGCTATACAAGTGTGGGTCATTCATTTTTCATTTGTTTTGACTACCTTCACTGGAGTTTCTACGGGTGTAAACGGTCTTTTTTCCAGCCATCATAGCGAAGGGGGCGGTCACATGAGAGACGTGACGTCACGTTCAAACGGTCAATACAGGTGCTGGTCATAGAATTAGAAAATCATGACAAAGTTGATTCATTTTAGTAATTCCATTAAAATATGAAACTTGTACATTAGATTAATTCACCAAACAGACTGATATTTTTCAAATGTTTAATTTTGATCATTATAACTGACAACTAATGAAAATCCCAAATTCAGTAAATCAGAATGTTAGAGTATGGTGAAAAGCTTCACTATTGAAGATCCCTGGTGCCACACTCTAATCAGCTAGTTCAAAAGACCGGCTAAAGGCTTTAAACGATCTCTTATTGTGTGTCCAAATCCTGGGGCAGGATGCTTGTGAGGACGCGTCATTACCGGTCCAGCAAGGTCGGGTCCTTGCTCGACCGCTAAAACTGGAAGCCAGCAGCTCTGTATTTGGACAGTCTAGCCTTCACCCCAGCGGTGGCCTGTAGGTCCCGTCACAGCCGTGGCGGCAGCTACACGCTAAGGAAAAATGCTAAAGCTAGCGAAAAACGAGCAGGAATATCTTAGAAGCTGTACCTCCATCACCAGTGTTTGTTCACAACTGTTTTCAGGTAAAGTAATTTTGTTTATTCTACGAGCTTTCAGGACTTACATGTTAACTTTTGATCGTTTCATTTATGTTTTAAGCTACAGAATGAGCTGTGGTTAAATGTACACAACACATTACTACAGAATATTAACATGTAGTTGATTAATATATGAAATGCATTATAAATGTTGAATGAAATGTAGGACATTTTCTAATGTTAAATGGACCTTAGCACTTCTTATTTTACATAAAGTGGGTGTAAACATTTTAAAAACTGGCTTTTTGTTAATAAAATAGCATTGAAGTGTTTTCAACGTGCATGTGTTTATTCAAACCAAGCTTAATAATGCTCAGATCTGTCTTAAAAATGTAAATTCTTTGTAGTTTCTGTTTAACTATTCACTGCTGCTTATCTTTAAACACAACAGAACCAATGTACTGCAGGTTATATGTTTGTTTTACATTTTTCTATTTAAGCAAAACTATTTTTTATCTATTACAGGTCAGAATGCCTATTCTGCACATCTGCCTCTGTGCTGGTGAAGTTGTGGCCCAGGAGGATGAGCCTGAGGAAGATGTGTGTGGAGGTGCTCAGCTGTGCTCTGTCCTGGAGGAGGTACCAGCAGACCACCACTACTATTAACAGGCAAATCATTTATGCAGGAGCCTCTATTAAAACACTGTGGTTTTATTTGTTGAAGAGTGACAATTGTTGCACTAGTGGATCCATAAACCATCTCCTCATTTCATATTTCTGAATACGTCTTAGAGATGTAACAGCCGTCCATTGAGATAGCCCAGCAGGCCCTGTAGATGGACGATGGAGTGGACAGTGAAAGGAAGCATCCCAAAGCTCTCTCCGGAGACTGTCCTGTATGATGCACCACCCTCTGACTAGAAATGTTCAGCCACGGGTCTGTTCCAGCCCTCCATCCACGTCTGGGATCCTCCTGCAGCAGATCAAGTTGCAGATCTGTAAATAAATGTCACGTATTATGAATAATCTTGTCTCCTTACCATCTTTTCATTCTGTTCATGTAACATGTTCAAAAACATCTGTAAATAATAAAACTGGCAATAAACTTAATGACCAAAATGAGTTATCAGTTAGTATTTGTTTTAATAAACATGTTCAAATATCAAACAACTAAATAACATTAATGTGATAACAGTTGAAGGCCACTCTCCCAGGAGGATCACCAGGGTAAAACAGCAGCAGTGAGCCTCTCCTGACCGTGGACACTTGCAGCCCTAAACACAGAAAATCAGAAATCACAGGTGACAAAAAGGCAATTAACACATTTTTACATTTATCCACATGAAAATTTAAAAATTATATTCTTCACACAAACTATTTTTAATTGTTCTTTATAACGTGTCAACTGTGTAAATCCCTGAATATAGAACTTTACTTTTCACAGCAGAACACACGATGAACTACTGTGGTCATGTGTAAACAGCTTCATTCTTTACCTCTAAGCTTAATAAAAGTGCCCTGTTGTCCCTAAAACAAATGACAAGCTTCATTTGCACACACACACACACACACACACACACACACACACACACACACACAAATGGGAATAACTACGGAACCCCACCAAACAAGCTCGTTCTGCCTGATTTCTGCCTAAAATGTACAAACTGAAAATGTCTATAAACCAAACCGCTTTAAGCTTTTTAGATTTCTACCGATATTTTTTAAACAAACATACGTTTAAAACTTGCTTTCATGTTTATCTTCCTGTTGAAAATCCAACGGCAGGCGCGCAAAGCATGCTGGGACAGCCTTGCTCTGTGAGGATAGACCAGACCCATCCTCCAAATATGGGTGGAGCGAGGACAGTGAGTATACTTGGAATTAGGTCAGTACTCATCGCTGCGCTGAGATGTCATCGACCTCAAAATGCATCCTGCCCTTGGATTCGGACACATCCTTAGTCTTGTTATGTAGGCTACACAATCATGAGGACGACTACTGGCTTGACAGTTGTCCAGAAGACGACCATAGACATCTTCCACAAGGAGGGCAAGGCAGAACAGGTCATTGCTAAAGAGGCTGGCTGTTCACAGAGCTTTGTGTCCGAGCACATTAACTCATTCACTGCCAGCCATTTCCTGATCGGTAAAGCCCTTCGCTGCCAGCTTTTTTCACCATTTTTACTGTTTTTTTAAGAGTCACAGAACGTTGCGCGTAGGGTTGTCACGGTATGAAAATTTAACCTCACGGTTATTGTGACCAAAATTATCACGGTTTTCGGTATTATCGCGGTATTTTTTAAACGGTGTTGCATATGTTCAGAAAGCATTGATAGTCCTGTTCTACACAAACTGAAATAGTTCTGAAAAGGTTTAACAGTGTTTATTAAACCTAAAATAACACAAAGCCTTAGCAAAAGTGCAACTTTTCACAAGTAAAGGAACAAATAGCTTCTTTTTCTGGAACATGTTACAGTAGTCAGTGCAGGTTTAAATTATACAAATCCAAACATTCAAAACATAAACAATATGTAAACAAATCAAAGAAACACCACTTGTTTTCTCATATACTTGTTTTCTTCATTATCAAAATGAAAATCTAAAACTCCAGTCCACACTTGACTTGAGCACTGAACAAGTCAACCTTAAAAAAATATGTATTTAAAATAAATAGCCACTTTAAACAAATTACTAAAATAACTACTACACTATGTAATCAAATCCAAATGTTCAAGTATAAATGGCATTGAATAAGTAAACAAATCAATGACAAGGAACTAATTGTGTATTTCTCTTCATCATCAACAAATAAGATGCTTCATCCAGCAACAGGGTGTCCGTGACACGGTTTAAATGCTGGCAGAGGACGCTGCGGCTGCAGTATATAGTGACTCGTTGTATTCTCCCTCAGCCAAAAGTCCTCACGTCATGCATTTAAGCTAAAATGCTAATGTTAACTTACCTTGCACTGGCTGTGGAGATATGGGTGATGGTCACGCAGATGTGCCATTAGATTTGAAGTGTTGCTGCCTTTTGCAGACACTTGTTTCCTGCACGTTCTGCAAACGGGATAGCAGTCTTCTATTAACTGTCCCTCAGCATTTTACAGAAATCCAAAATATGCCCATACTTCCAATTTAGTCTTCTTTGAGGGCTGATGGATGTCCTGGGCGCTGCCGTCTCCTCCTTCGGCCATTATTTCAGCTTCAAAGTTTTGGTGCCGTTGCAAACTAAAAAGTGCGTGTGCGCGCCGCGGGAACTTCAGCTGAAGCAACGGTGGCTGGTAACCCACCGAGATAATATAGTTTTTTAAAAACTGGACGGTTATTTTTATTGTCAACTTTTTTACCGGGGTTTACCGCTATACCGGTTACCGTGACAACCCTAGTTGCGCGCTAGGATGATGTCGACGCCAAAACAACCAAAACAAAGGGGAGACTCACCTCTTACATCAGGAAGAATTTGCAGGTTTTGAGCTTTATCCATTCTTTCACAATCCGTTGTTGAATTGTGATCGGCAGACGCTTTTCCGGTTTGCGCCTCACCTTTTTTTTTACAGCAGCGGCCCAAAATGGTCTCCTAACACATGGATTTTCTGCTTCCTGATCATGTGACGTGTGACGTATGCAGATGAAGATCAGCTTTAGAGCTGAGATGTTTGTTCTCACAGTGCGGGGGCTCGTTCCGATGCCCAAACAGTAAAAAAATGCAAATGACGACTTTAGTAGTCATTGGCAGTGAATGAGTTAATAGAGAGGTGAAGGGAAGGACAAGATGTGGTAGAAAAAGTGTAGAAGCAATGGGGATAACCACACCCTGGAGAGGATTGTGTAACAAAACTCATTCAAAAATGTGGGGGAGATTCACAGAGTGGACTGCAGCTGGAGTCAGTGCTTCAAGAACCACCACACACGCAAAACCTGGTTTCTGCTGTCACATTCCTTCTGTCAAGCCACTATTGAACAAGAGACAGCATCAGAAGCATCTCGCCTGGGCTAAAGACTGAAAGGACTTGACTGCTGATGAGTGGTCCAAAGTTATGTTCTCTGATGAAAGTAAATTTTGCATTTCCTTTGGAAATCAAGGTCCCAGAGTCTGGAGGAAGAGAGGAGAGGCACAGAATCCATGTTGCGGGTATTGTGAAGAGGAAGATGCAATACGTCAGAACAATTAAGAAGAGCTGAAGGCCACTATCAGAGCAGCATGGGCTCTCATAACACTTGAGCAGTGCCACAGACTGATCGACCATGCCACGCCACATTGCTGCAGTAATCCAGACCAGAGGAGCCCTAAATACTGAGTGCTGTACATGCTCATACTTTTATGTTCATACTTTTCAGATTGCCAACATTTCAAAAATCCTTTTTTTTTTTGCATTGGTCTTAATCGATATTCTAATATTCTGAGATATTTAATTAGAGATTTTTATTAATTGTCAGTTATAATCATCAAAATTAAATCAATAAACATTTGAAATATATCAGTCTGTGTAATGAATGAATATAATATACAAGGTTCACTTTTTGAATGGAATTACTAAAATAAATCCACCTTGTCATGATATTCTAACTTTATGACCAGCACCTGTAAATCATAATGTTCAAGTGACGTACACTTGAATGCAGATCTGATGTGCTATGGTGACAGAAATGAAGAATATTTAATATATAAATATTGAAAAATAGTACCAGTAAACATTTTTCCCAAATATACTGTATGTTCTCACTTGGATACTAATTCCTGCTTAAGATTTTGTTTATTAATAACTGGTCAGCTTTATTGTCACGTATTTCCTTCTCACATATCTTTTTATCACAGCAAAATCCCCAGTTACATGTGCCTTTTTTATTCTTTCAAGGTTGTGACAGAATTCTGAAATTTAACAAGTCGTCCCACTTAAAGAACCAAGTAACAACCCACACTCCTGAGAACGAAGTCTGATTTGAGATAAACAGCACCATCTGATGTAACTATCCACACACACAGTAAGTTAAATAGATTTTTCAAGTACTTAATTAGTCTCTTTAGCTTTGCAGCATAGTGTTGTTGTTATTTCTTTGTAAAATGATACTTTCATTTCAAACGTAGCTTTAGACTCTGGGTTGCATTTCTTTTTCAAAACTGTCCCAGTAGTTCTCTGATCTCATTACTGTGATATATTTTTAATGACTCTAGTACCAGAGCGAGCACACAACAGCAGAACACAGCCTGCAGCGTGTTTTTATACTTTTTTATGGGCTTCATTTAGTCTCAAATAAACAAAAACTCAGGGGTTTTAAAGTACTCTTCCTTTTTCATACATCATTATCCTCAAAACACTTGTTTTTTTCTTCTTGCATATTTTGGCTTAATTTAATATTTAAATAGCTCCGATGTGCTTATTTCAGGAGCATGAAGTGATCCACATCAGAGGAGAGCTTTAACATGCCAGGTCTTATTTCCTGATATTTGGATATCTCTCCTCTGATTGGCTAACAGCTACTCTACCACTGACTGCAACATTGATGGTTTTTCTCCACAAATAACACAAGCATGGAAGAGTTCTCTTGTGTGGTGGAGTTGCAAATGCTAACGGTTAGCTTTTACTAGCGGAGACATTCTTTGCTGATCAACAACAGCCTTTCCCGTCGTGAGTGAAGATAGGTGAGTCCATGAATGCTAAGTCAGGGCTGTACAGTGCAACATATATGTCGCATGTGAAAGGAAAAAAACTCTGTGCGATAAATAATTTTTAGATGTAGCACTTGTGCATCACCATTTTCCCCTGAACTTTATTGAACAAATGCAAGCTGTTTGTTTTTTGTGTAGGGAAGATGCATGGCAAAGCCTTGGCACGCCACTATGCCAAAGAGTGGTTGTAGTCAATTGTGATGACCAAGTGTTTCCTCATCAGTATAGTTACTCTTATATGCTACTACAATTCCCATCAGGCCTGTGTGTTCTCACGAGTTTACTTATTTATGATGTACGCGTGGGCATCAGAGAATGAGGACAAACTGAGAAATGGGGCGATATTTCAAACCTTTAACAGAACAGAAAAACAAACCATGCAAACAATAAGAAACAAAAACAAAACCTGCACCAAACCAGGGTACGTGTGAGAAGGGGAAAGATTATAGAGAGCCTAAGTCTGCTACCTTTCTGGTCGGCCAGCAGGCTAACTTTTATCTGCACAAAACTTGTAGCTATTGGCACCACAGGCATCACAGGGTTTCCCCCAGAAAATGAGTTAAGCCTGGCGGATTAGGGGGGGACGGTCGCACGCTCCGTCCCCAGCGCTCCTCCGTGAGAGCAGGGAGGATCGCGCACTCCGTCCCGCAGTACTCCTCCGTGAAGGCGGTGGAGGGGGTGCACACGTTCTGCTGCTGTTTCTCACCAGTATCAGCTGATGGAGGTTTTGTTACGCCGTTCGTGTCAGCGGACACGGTAGGGTCGGGGAGGGGGGCGGGGCATGACGCTTAACCTGGCGGGCCGCCAGGCTTATAAAGCGCTGGGGGAAACCCTGCATCATATACATAGACACCCTGTGGACTGAGCTGCCATCTTGGATGGGTCCCCAATTGCCCCCAGTGCATTTATTTTTACTGGAGAGATGTTTATTCAACTAAAAACACATTTTAATAGGATTTTTAACAAAATCAGATATATAGTATGGCATAATTAAAAAGAAAACCCAATATGACAGCGACGCTGTTACTCTCTCCAGCTCCCATTGAATAAGAATGAGAAAGTCCAACGTTTTGCTAACCTTCTGCAAGTTCTCTGTGTTTATTAACTTATCTTTCACTGTTGGCTAGCTCTGTGTTATTGTAAGAGATGTCTCTGTGAACTGGGACTTATAATGATTCGCTCTGGCGACGCCTGAAGGGAAAGAAGCCAAAGGCATACCTGCAAATTTGTCGCTTTTCGTTGAAAATCGCAGTTTTTGAAGCCAAATGTGGCAATCACGTGAATCTTGTATATCCGAAGAGTTTTTGTTTTGAAGGGTGGGGTGGGGGGTTTCTGTCGGGTTTCAGTAATGTTTTCAGTCACTCAGAGAATGGAAAGGGGACTCCTCTTGTCCTCCTTTTTCACACCCTCCGAGTTTTCAGGTATGTAAAGAATACCTGAAAGACAAAGTAGTTTGTTTTGATGGCAGCTTATCATGCAGCTGTCTTTTCCTGCATGTTAAATGCCCAGTATGCACACATTTATGGATGCAACAATACCACTTTTTTCCAAACCGATACGATACCGATACTTGGATCTGAGTACTTGCCGATACCGATTACCAATACCAATACTTCTACCACACAAAAAATGCAATGATTTGGAATACAGATTTTATTTTCTTCTCTGCTTTCAACTGGAAAAGACTGTGAGGTAGATAAAAAGTAAAATAAATGAATGGAAATCATAACAAAACTAAAATATTAGGTGAACAGAAATGACAAGTTATAGTGAAGCCATTTTCAAGCAACTGCATTGGTATCGGTTAACTTTTACCGATACAATACTGGTATTGGTATCGATACCGATACCAGTATCGTATCGGTGCATTCCCACACACATTACAAGTGGCTGTTACACTGCCTTTGCTGTCAGGTTTAAAGTACAGACAATTTAACTCCGATGTAGACACTTTAGCTCTGCGTTAGCCTACTTGCTAACAGCTGCATGTTAAAGTGTCTGAATACTTGCCTGCCGTAAATTGTGTGAGGTAATGGTGGTGTTTTCTTCCAAGAAATAAAGAACACTGATGTAGAGGAACTTGTTGAGATAAAAAATAAGCCATTATTATTCCGTTTGAAAATCTCTGGATTAATTAAAAAGTCATATTTCTTTTTTATAAGGTTAAAACTGATCTTTTTCACTGATTACGATTTTTTTGAAAATTTCCGATCACACGATCAGATCGGACCATTCCTAGTACTTGGTTTAGTGTTCTCCTTGTGTGTTTTTGACCTTTGACCCCCATGTTTCCTTTGCTGTTTATTTCCCCTTTGTTTGGAGTTATCTCTTCTTCTGTTTAGTTCTTGGATCCTGTTTGGTTTGATCAGTTTCATGGTTTATCCTTTTTTCCTCCAAGCCTTTCAGTAATCTCTAGGTTCTCCTGTGTTTGGAACCCACTTCAACACCAACCAACCATTTCCTGACAGGACTTAGACTTATAAAATGTGTTCACCGGATTCAGGAGGAGCAATGTGGTTTCCGTACTGGCCGTGGAACACGGAACCAGCTTTGTACCCTTAGGGGGGTCCAACCTACATGTGTTTTGAGGATTTAGAGCAGGCATTCGACCGCGTCCCTCGGGGGGCCCTGTGGGGAAAATATGGGGTACCAGGCCCTCTGATAAGTGCTGTTAGGTCCCTGTATGACCGGTGTCAGAGCTTGGTCCGTGTTGCTGGCAAGTCGGGCTCATTCCCAGTGAGATTTGGACTCCACCAAGGCTGACCTTTGTCACCGATTCTGTTCATAACTTTTATGGACAGGGTTTCTAGGTGCAGCCAAGGTGTTGAGGGCATCTGTTCTGGTGGCTTGAGGATCAGGTCTCGACTTTTTGCAGATGATGTGGTCCTATTGGCTTTACCAGAACGTGATCTCCGGCTTTTGCTGGAGCGGTTTGCAGCCGAGTGTGAAGCAGCTGGGATGAGAATCAGCTCCTCTAAATCAGAGACCATGGTCTTGATTCGGAAAAGGGTAGAATGCCTTCTCTCCGGGTCAAGGATGAGGTCCTGCCCCAAGTGGAGGAGTTTAAGTTTTTCGGGGCCTTGAAATAATTGTGATCTGAAATATAAGATATCAAATTGAATCAAATAATTGACACAATAATTGTAATTAGGGATGGACAATATATCGGCATCAATATCGGTATTGGCCGATATTAGTAATTTTTAACATATTGGTATTGGTTTGATTAATAAATCTGGGCCGATATTAACAGCCGACATTTTTTCCTTCTCGTCTCTATTTGTTTGCCTGTTTCAGAGGATGGGAGAGGATGATGTGTAATTGTTTAGTCATGTGAACTGTGAATGAAATCATCTCAGAACCGTAAATGTGTGTGTTGTGTGTACATAATAACGTAAATTCAGCTTGAATAATTTTCAATCTATACAAAATTTGCTGATTTAAGAAGCATTAATGTCAATATATCGGTATCAGCAAATATCAGTTATTGGCCATAACAGTGATCTTAATATCCGTATCGGCCCAAACATTTCATATCGCTGCATCACTAATCATAATCCAGACGTGAAACTAGCGAAGATTCACACTTCTAGTCACCAAGCAAAATTAGGATCATCACTGAGTAATTTTAATGACTTTTTCACACTCAAAGCTACTTGTTTTATTCACATTGTTTTATGCTAAGCTAAAGCTAAAAGAGTACTGCTGCATCAGAATAATGACTAGGCTGGTTACAAATAGTTTTTTTTTTTACACTTATCTAACTCTGGTGAATATAAAAACAGACAAAATTTACTTTAGCGCGTTTAGTGCGTGCACGTGTGTGTGTGTGTGTGTGTGTGTGTGTGTGTGTGTGTGTGTGGCTCTCAGAAGCTGTGTTCACTCTCAGTGAGTTTCTGTTTTAGGTCTTATTGATTGAAGAAAATGGATTACGTCACACAAGAAGATGTCAGTCCACAATCAGATCTCACTTCACTGCCTTTGTCAAAGCGGCTGAGAACCGATTGTTCTGTAACCGAAGACGTATCTGGGAACAGCACGTTCAACACTTCAGACGCACGGACATCTCAGGAATGTCGCCTGTCACCAAGAAACCTGCAGAAGACTGATGGGCTGACTTTCACTGCAGAATGTGGACATTATGATCACAACTATTGTGACAAAATACAGGATAGTACTTTAACATCTGTTACTGATATTACTTTACAGAGTAGTAACACTCACACAGAATCAAAGATAGGATGTTATGTTTGTGCTGAGAGAGATGGGAAACCTTCAGAGGCCAAAACAGACACACTCAGTCTGTGTTTGAGAGATGATACAGATGGATCTCTCCCTTGTACCAGGATGAACACACCCAGTCCTCCTGACTGTAATCATCTAAGACTCTACAGTCTTCCTGATCTAAATGAGCATGGGGCACAAACTGATATCAGCCAACTCATGGAAGATACCTTCTGTTCAAACCAGCCTGATTACTCCTCTAAAGATGCAGTAGTGGACCCAGGTCTGTGTCAAACAGGCAGCCAACCAACCAAAGCAGTGAAAACCAGTAAGGATAGAGAGGAGGTTGATTTTAGCGTCCCTCTGAGTAAGGCTGGGTGTGAAATTCTCATATCTTTCAGGGATTTTGAAAATCCTAATCCACTTTACTCAAACCCTGATGAAACCTCTGGAGAAATTAAAAAGCAGGAATCAGTGCCACAGACTTGTGAGAGGGAATTTGTCTCTGTCTGGGATGTAAACACAAAGGGCCAAGCCAATGAGAACAGCATGAACAACACTCTCATCTGCTCTGCTGCTGAAAGTGCAGAGAGATCAGTTCCTACTGATGCCAGGGTGATGGACACAAGTGTTCAAATTGAGAATTTTGAAATTAATAAGTGCATGGAGGCTGATCAGTTGTCTGAGATGCCGGTGGCTTCTGAAATCAGCCAAGAGCCCGCTGAAGGAGATAATGACGCTTTTGGTGTAATTGACCCTGTAATCTGCAGTGAAATTGATAAAGAGGTTGAAGGGAGGCTCTGTATCTCAGACAGCACTGAAGGTACAGAATTATCTGCGTTAGGACAAATCTGCAGCGTGGAAATAGCTCTTCCCCTTTGTTGTAGTGCCAGTACATCACAAGTTTTATCTGCAGACCAGAACAAGGAGTTCAACCACCAAGAAAGAACAATGCAAGATGAAAACAAGTTCATATGTTTGGGATACACACAGGCTTGTTCAGTGACTAACATTGATACACAAGACAACAGAGCCAACTGCCAATCCAGTCTCAGCAGCAGTTCCAAGAAGCCCCCTCCTGCTAAGGTGGGAGGAACAGAAGGAAGCCATGATCTTGTGCACCAGGAGCTGAAGGAACAGAGCCGGTCCAGATGCTGTGCTGCCAGTCCTAACTACATCAAGATGCAAGAGGTTGAGTTTTCAGAGAAAGAAAGGGACAAAGTGGACATGACAGCTGTGATAAATGGTCGAAAGGAAGCTGCACACATTTTTAAAGAGAAAGAAAACAATAAAGAAGGAACATCTCAGCAACAAAATCAACAAGATGAAGATGACGGATTGATGGAAGAAGAAACATCCAAACAAAACAGCAAATTAAACTGTACTGATGTCACAGAAGAGCTTGCGAGTTTGAGCAATAACCCACATTGTCCAGATATTAATGGCATGGATGGGACCACTAAAGGAACAGAACAAAGAGGGGTAATAAAATTTGGAACAGAAATAAAAACCTGTGGATGTGAAACGTCAGAGATAAAAGGAACCGCGAGGGAAGAGTCACCCGATGGAAGCGTTAGTGAATGGTTGGAGGGGGCTAAATTGCCTTTTTTACATGCAGATCATTCAGAGCAAAGGCTCAGTGGTTTCTCTCCTTACCAATACAGGTCTGATTTATCCATGCCCATTACTTTTCCCCCTGAGTGTGATGCAGTTGTTCCATGTCAGCCAAATTTAAGCCATTCAGAAAATGCTCAAAGCACCTCCACAGCACTAACGAGTAGTGACAGATTTCCCCCGTCTGCCTTTACTCTCAGCAGCCATGTGCTCAGGGGGTTTGACACTTTTGAAAAGATCAAACTCTCACCAGATGATGGTGATGACGATGTTGCTGGCCTGGGCAGCATGCCTGTTCTCACCAGCTCGCCTAAAGAGAAAGCACCCGAGCAACAACTCCACCACCACATGCAAACGGCAGAGCTTGACGTTCATAATAAGATGGCAGTGGAGAAGGATGGAGGAGAGTGTCACGTCGGGAACATGGCAAATGGATTTGTTAGCAGCGATTCAGCTTGTAATGATGGCCCAAACTTTCACCCAGCAGCAGATGTCAATGTACTCGCTTGGCCGGAGCAACAACCTGACTGTGGATCGGCCTGTGACTCCTCTGAACTCACACACGAAGAATCCAATTCACATTCAGAATGTTCTGCTGTCACCCCTGAGTATGACAGTGATCCCAACAACAGCTTGCAGTTTGAAATGAAAGAACAGTTTGACAGGGTGTTGAAAGAGCTCCGTTTATTCTTTGATATCAGTAGAAATGACTTTGCAAGCGACTGCAGGCCATGTTCACCTGAGCAGTATGATGCACCCAAACCCCTGGAGAGAAACACATCAAAAGGCACAGAGGGCTTCAGCCGACCAGGAGGACTCCACAGAGATGATGCATCACCAGGTATTATACACTATAGCTGGTGTACTCACTGCACACAGGACACACTGACTACGTTTACATGCAGCCAATATCCGGGTTATGGTCGGGTTAAGGTCGGTATTCGGGTTTCTGAGTTGATCAGAATAACCCGTTTACAAGCATAAATAGAAAGAGTTACCCCTAACTTGCATAACCCGATTTAAATGCGGACTTTGGGGTAGCGTCAGGACTCTTGTCGTGATTTGGCGCTATATAAATAAAATTGAATTGAAATTGAATTGAATTGGGAGGGTTAAGACACTGCATACACTATTGACCGTACACATAAGTATCAAAATACCGTGTTACACAAATATATTTGGTTCTTTTTCTAACTTCGTTCGGTGTTTCACTATGGGAATCGCCCTGGCGTGACCCAACTATGGAACTGGGAAATCCGGCACGGCAAGTTTGAACCCTTCCTGTTCCATGTATGTTTGCCCGGAGTTGTACTGAGAAGCATCCTGTCCGCCCCACTGATTGGTCCTTGCCCGAGCGACAGCGATGAAAAGTTACAAATTTTCAACATCCTGGGATTGCTTCGCTGGCTTGTGAAAATTTCACATGCACATTTTTGGCATGTCGCTTAGCAGGAGAGAGACCTGCGTTTAGCGCTTTTTCGTGCATGTCTAATTGAGAATGAATGCAGAGGCGTGTGGCCTCCCGTGCTTTGAGCCCATTAGTCTTGGTCGTTTAGCAGATAAAGCAACTGCCTTTCATCTTGTTTTGCCGTGTTCTGACGTTGGTTCGACTCCCAGGCAACAGACATGGGTAATTTTGGCATCAACAAGTCATCTTCCTGCCGTGTTTTTCTGCAGTTCAGCAACAAAACCAGGTGATTTCAAACAGCACAGTGAATTAACCTTGTTCAATTGCTGAGCAGAACAAAATCACAGCATGGAGTGGACTTGTTGATGCCACAATTCCCCATCTTTGGTCAGCAGTTATCTAGTCAGCTGAAGCAGATTTCTTTTGCATCTCTAAACATCTTTGAATTTGATCATTTCCAATCAGCAGTTTAGTTGATTTAATCAACTCACCTCACATGGACTCACACTGGCTAAATAAACAAAGAAAGTAAAAAAAAATACATATCAGTCTTGATATTTTAAAGTAATCACAAATAAAGGATCAGAAAATGAAATGCGGCTAAAAAAATAAGAAAAGAAGTTACTTCCACGATCGGGAGTCACACCGGCGTAAAGTCATAGTAAAACTGCAGGTGTTCTAGCCACTAGGCTACCAAGTCTATTATAAGACAACAGTCACCCAACACACATGTCCAGTGCTGGCCATTACCACTTTCTTTGTGGACAGGACGCATGGTTTTTACAGTAGTGTTTTGTCCCCAATGCAGAAGTAGTTGTCAGAATACCCACTCTGGTAGCGGTGGAGGCAAAGCAGTCATCTGTGACATGAAGGTCACGTTCTCAACTGCAGCATAAAATAAACCGCTCTATTGGGCGTTAGTGGCCTTCTAGGGGAGGCAGGATTCAGATCTGAGACTAGCTTCAGGGGGAGGAGACATGCCTGATGACGCACTTATTTTCCGTCCTCATGTCTGTAGGTCCTTAACACAGAATCTGAAAACTCACAGCTGAGATCAGAAAATGTATGAATGCAGCAAAAATAGGTCTGGGGGTATTTTTCATGATGGAAGAACAATATCACATGGTAAAAAGCTCCAAAAAAGGGGATTTTCCATGATATGGCCTCTTTAATGAACTCATTTAATGTAGAGAAAAACATAAAAATCAGACCCCATTTGTTGGATGTTTACTGAATTTGATATGTTTTTTGACTTTTAAGAAGTTTTTATCAAAGGCAAACTTGTATTTCTAGATCTGCTTTTTACACATTTTTTTTCATGTAGAATTTGAATGTTTCCTATTGATGTTTAGATAAAGCTGTTGAAGACCACAGTCTGGAGATGTGTGGAGTTGACCCGGTGGCTTCGTTTCTTAATGCCAGCAGTGATGGAGAACAGGAAGTGCCCCTCAACAGAAAAGTGTGCCAACATAAAAGCACTAAAGAGAAGCATGCAGGTTCCAGTTAAACTTCCTCATTCTCAGAAAATCATCAACACCAACAAGATTTGTTTGAATATAAATTACAAAAAATCTAAACTGTATTCATAAATAAAGAAGTATGTGGCATTTATTAAATGCAAGCTGACAAAAGCTGGTGGGTGAAAATGAAATGTGTTCTTTGGTGAATTCAGTGAAAAAGATGGATTTGTCTCGTTGCTTTCAGTGCCCCAGGAGGTCGAGCAGAACAAGAAGATGTGGTCTCCTTCCTTCTCACATCTACCTGTGTTGGAACAACTCAGTCAAAGTGAGTTTATTTTCAGGGTTTTTACTGATGCTTGTAGTAGGACAACGCCCACATTTTATTCATTGTTTTGAAAGTGCTTTAAACTAAATCTGAAATGCCATTAATGAAATAAGGACACAAGTATAAAGATCTGTCAGGATTTTTTAATCCTAGAGTTTCACCGTCTATCAGAAGCTAATGCAGGAGATAGGTGTAGGAGTCTATTTTCATGTGCAGCCTGAATGAAAAACCCAGTGGCCGATTATAATCTGAAATAATCATTAAATAATGTTTTTTCAGTCAACCATACCTTTAAATGAATCGAAAAGCAGGAAAAAGGGAAGACATTTTCTTTCTTTAAATCTCTTCATCTATATTCATTTTCTGAGAATCCTTGTGTTGCATTGTTTGGAAAAAGAATCATAACACAACTTAAGGACAAGTTGAAAGTATTTGTATTTTTTAAATAAGTTTAGAATATTTGGATATTCTTTTTTTTTTTTACTTCGAATGGGGATTGTCATGAAGTTTTATTTTTTAGGTTTTTTTTTTTTGGAACAAGATGGAGTCTGCTTTGGCACAGGAGCTGTCAACTGCTCCTGTTTTGTCTTTTAGTTTCCTGGTTTTTGAATAACTTCTTGGTCTACTCATATCCTGGAATTGTGTATGATCGACTTACCCTGCTTGGCCTTCATTCGAGACCTGGATCTCTTCAGTTCTATACTCCCTCCTCCAGACGCCTGTTTGATGAGGTCTCCTGACCACTCAGGGCCTTGCTAGGCGCTGCTGGAGGCGCCAGGCGAAACGTGGAGGTGTCTGCGTTCGGCTTCGCACATCCTTGTGTCTGTTCTAGAGGATTTCTGGGTGGCAATCGGATGACTCGCCGCAGTGTGATCTAACCCCACAGCCCATTATGGTATTGAACCAACGAGGTGTGGTTTCTATCAGTGGGAGCTTCCATCGGAGGCGTCGGCCGGGTTGAGTTGTCTGGTGGAGCCTCACTTACCCAGTGAGATCCAGTGAGCTACAACCTGTCTACAACACTGGCTTTATCTTTTCTATGGATAGGGCTGCTCAGTACTTGCTCAATCGGGAGTAAGACTGCTCTTCTGAAGGATATTTTCATGGATTCTGCCGTAAGTCTTCTCTGTTTGACTGAAACGTGGGTCACACTGGGAGGGCCCCTCTCCTTGGCTGAACTGTGCCCATCTGACTGCCTGATTATTAAAAGATCTCAGCTGTCGGGTCGGGGTGGGGGTCTGTTAGCTCTCTCCCCTTGAAACACCTCCCCTGCCTGCCGGCTCCCACCAGTTTTGAGATATCCCTGTTTGAACTTGGCTGTTCGCCAGCTATTTTATTTGTTTTATGCTATAGACCACTGAGCTATAGCAGTGCATTTATAATGATCTTTGTCGGATTACGTGCCAAAGTATGACCAGGTTGTTGTTCTGGGGGATTTTAACATCCATGTCTTCTGTCCATCAAAGCAATTGGTGACTGACTTTTTGGCTGTCTTAGACTCTTTTGGCCTCCAGCTGATAATGGATGATCTGACCCATGCATGCTCTCATACTCTGGACCTGGTGCTATTCAATGGAGTGAACGTGCGTGATCTGACTGTTGCTCCTGTGGGCTTCTCAGATCACTACTCTGTTCTGTTTATTTTCTGCCTACTCCCACCCTTAAAGAGGCAGCCCGCTGTGTTTTTCAAGGTTCATCTCATTGGTCACAGCCTCTCAGCTGGTGTCTGTTTTGGATGTTGACCCTCTCTCATCTGCCTCCGGTGCTCTAGAGGGAGTGAATAGCCTTCTTTGTCAGCTAAATGCTACCTGCTTAGCTGCCCTGGACTCTGTGGCCCTCTCAGACAGAAATGGAAAAAGGAAATTTCTGACACATGGATTGATGATCAAGTTCAGTGCCTTAGGCACCAGTGCAGGAAACTGGAACGGAGGTGGAAGAAGGATGAGCTGACTGCGTTTTGAGTTTTTAAGGAGTCTCTTTGACATTATCAGAAAGCCGTTAGGTTGGCATTGAATAAATATTTTTCTGATGCCACTGTCCATCCCTCATTCTGCTGGGGGACGCTCATGTGGGCAACGACAGTGAGGCCTGGAGAGGGGTGGTTGGGAGGAACGGCCCCCCGATCTGAATCCGAGCGGTGTTTTGTTACTGGACTTCTGCGCATGTCATGGATTGTCCATAACAAATACCATGTTCAAGCATAAAGGTGTCCATATGTGCTCTTGGCATCAGGCATCGAGGCCGCAGTTCGATGATCGACTTTATTGGCGTTTCAGCTGATCTGTGGCTGCATGTCTTGGACACTTGGGTGAAGAGAGGGGCGGAACTGTCAACTGGCCACTACCTGGTGGTAAGTTGGCTTTGATGGTGGAGGAGGAAGCCAGTCAGACCTGACAGGCCCAAACGTATTGTGAGGGTCTGCTGGGAATGTCTGGCAGAATCTCCTGTCAGAAGGAGCTTCAATTCCCACCTTTGACAGAATTTCAAATACGTCCCAAGGGAGGCAAGGGACATTAAGTTAGAGTGGGCCATGTTCCATGCTTCTATTGTCAAGGCGGCTGACCGGAGCTGGGGCCACAGTGTTGTCGGTGCCTGTCGTGGTGGCAATCCCTGAACCCGCTGTTGGAAACTGGCGGCTAGGGATGCTGTCAAGCTGAAGAGTCCTATCGGGTCTTTTTGGCCTGTGGGACTCCAGAGGCAGCTGATGGGTAGCAGCAGTCCAAGCGGAATGCGGTGGTCGCGGAGGCAAAAACCCAGGCATGGGAGGAGTTCGGTGAGACCAGGGAACAAGACTTCTGTATGGAGAGAAGTCTGGGCCTCTCGGCTTAGGCTGCTGCTCCCGAGACCCGACTCTGGATAAGCGGTTGAAAATAGATGGATGGATGGACTGTCCAGCACAGGGGAGACCATGCAAGACACTATAGTACCATTAACTCCATACCGTTGTTGGATTCATCTAATGGTTTGATTCCATCTGTCTCACTATGCTACTTTATCAATAAGATTTATGGGATTAGGCTGGGTTTGGTGCCTTCAGGGGAAATCTATGAGGTTGCTCCTCCTGCCCCTCCAACACTGCACACTTTGCCCCTGTGCTCTTATGTGACCTTGAGAGATTTGTAAAACCTGTGAAACTTGTCAGCTCTACTGAAGACTCTTCCGCCACAGTTGGTGCGTAAGCTTTTTCATGAACTTGGTTCATCATTGCTGGAAATTATGAACACCAGTCTTTCCACCGGCGTGTTTCCTCAGGCTTTTAAGAAAACGGTTGTTCAGCCAACTTTTAAAAAGCCTGAGCTGGACAAAGCAGATTTTGATAATCTCCATCCAAATGCAAAGCTATCATTGCTTTCAAAGGTGCTCGAGAAAATAGTCCTCAATAGAGGCCTGCACGGGCCTAAAATCTGAGCCTGTGTCTGGCCCGGCCCGAGAGGGTGGAGCCCCAGCCCGACCTGGCCCGAAAAGGTTTTCAGGATTCTCTGGCCCGGCCCGAGCCCAAGCCCGACTTTTTTTTAACCAACTAAATGAAAACAAAGTGCGTCAATCCTGACCAATGCGTTAAAAGACGTGCAGGATCCGAGCGTCGCAGAAGCGCATGCGGGAAGCTTCATCCCACTGAAGCGAGTGTTTTCCAAACCCTGTCTCTCAGAGAGACTTGTCACTTAGAAAATGTTCCCTGATTAAGAAACTTTGGCTGAATAGCGCTTGTTCCTGTCTCCAATGTGCGACACATCCAGGAGCCGTCTGAGGAGAATCCCAGAATCTCACATCCTCTTCAGCTCATATAAGCGCATATGATTACGCACAAGCATGACCCAACACGGTCTCACAGTAAGACTGGGTTGGAACTGTTCAGGTTTACGCAGACAATCTTCACATAGAATTGACTTACAGATATAAAATTAATTCAGTAAAATATAAAGCATTTTATTTAAATATCCATTCATTATTTTACAAGCACAGAGAGCCACATCAGATGGATGGAAGAGCCGTGGGTTGCCGATCCCTGCTCTAGTTCAAGATATCATTAAAATTCCAAAAGTGCTGAAAAGATTAAAAATGGGGCTTTCCGTGCATATACAATACATTACGGTAGCCACCGGGATTCCCTGTCTTGAGCGCAACGAATCACAACACAGATTCAGAGACGTGCCGAGTTTGTCATCCAAAATGCTCCGTTTTATAACTTTTGAATGGCTGATCAGATTCAAATAATTCCAACGGTTCCTAAAAGTACATAAAAGCAGCTTTCCAACGATCTATAGCATGAAGCAATCAGAGTTAGGGAAAATATCGCTACGAGGGGAAATCCTGCTGTACAGCCTGATTGAATGAAACGGTGCGTAGCGCTGCGGTGAAAGCGGGTAACCTATAAAATGACGTGTTGAGGACGCAAACTCAATGCATCTCTTTTATTGTGAGGTAATAATTTCTCCGAGTTTTGCGGTTGTGGGCGGGAGTAGACATGCACGCTGCACGTGCGGGCGGGAGTGTAACACACACGTTGCGGTTACAGGCGGTAATGGTCAGAAATTCAGCGGGAGCGAGCAGGAGTGGGATGAAGAAAACAGTCCCGCGCAGGGCTCTACTGCTGCGTTTGTGTTTCAATTTTTTTTAATGATTTCGATTAAAAATAAAGGCGCCCGGCCCGTGTCCGAGGTAATTGCACAGTCGTTGGCCCGAAGCCCGGCCCTCGGGCCGTCGGGCCGTCGGGCCGGGCCGACCAGAGGGCCTAGGGCTTCAGTGCAGGGCTCTAGTCCTCAAGTTGTGGCGCATATGGAGACAAATGCCTATCAGCATTCAGGCCCGTTTACAGCACTGAGTTAGCTTTGCTTCATGTGAAAAATGACATCTTGGTGGCATCAGACTCGAGGTCCTATGTGCTGCTGCTGCTACTGGATCTTTCAGAGGCTTTTGATACTGTGAAACACCAGGTACTGTTAGACCGCCTTAAGTCGTGGGTGGGTCTAGCAGGTACTGCACTAAACTGATTTCTGTCTTATTTGTAAGTTTGGAGTGTTTAACGTGCAGCTGGGTGTCTGGACTTTGCCTGGCTTCCGCTATATGGGGGCTGCCACAGGGATCTGTCCTGGGGCCGCTCCTTTTCACCATATATTTGTTACCATTGGGGTCTTTGACCACTTTCACAACAGCTACCATATTTACGCAGAAGATTGCCTGATTTATTTGGCAATTGATGGAGCAACCACTTTGCAGCAGTTAACTGACCTAACCACATATTGCTTTGCACCCCCTCAATGAATTATAAAATGAGGAGGGAGTGTGCTTTTGTACATTTGGCGCCTGTTCTGTGGAATGCCTTACCTCTTATGATCCGCCAGTCAGCTTCTATTGCGGCTTTCAAGTCACGACTGAAAATGCACTTTTATGACCCGGCTTTTACATCTTGACTTGCTTTTTGTAAAAGTATTAATTTTAGTTGTTATAATTCATATTTTTATTAGGTTTTATTCATTTTTAGAATAGCCATTAGCCCTTAGCTGTGTTTTATGATGCAATGTATGTTTTAGTACTTCTTTCTGTACTGTATGTAAGGCGCTTTGGTCGGCTGTCATGCTGTGCTAAAATGCGCTTGATAAATAAAATGGTATGGTAGGGTAAGTTAAAGAAATCACATGAGCCAGACAGGAAGTGAGATTCAGCATTAGCAACTTTTAGTGGAACGATTTCAATGTAACAATCAGTTGGTTTGTTTTACTTTTGGATATTTGTCGGCACATTTGACTGAGTGGGTGTGAGAAAATGGCTCAGGGGAACACAAGTTAAAAAACATAGGAAAACACTGGCCTTTGTATTAAAACCTTTTCTTTTTTCTGCTGGACCTCCAGCACAGCTCAGAAGACTGGAGCCTTTGAAAACCTGCACCCGTCCAATTCGTGTTGGACTCTCCAAACGAGCCAAAACCAAACACCTGCACCGCTCACACCCATATAAATGATGGTCAGAAAAGACGGCCGTGCACAAGTGTGGGAATCTTGTTTCTTGTTCCAACGTTATGTAACAGATATATTTTCTGATATGTTGTTTCATGGTTCTCTGTGTGGGTTTGGGTTTCATGCTTCAGATTGCCCCTTTTAACGGTGTGGGCAGTTCTCTTATGATTGCACTCAGCTATTAATTGCTTGTTGAGAAGATGAGCAGCAATTTTGCCAAAACTGCTTGGAGTTCAAGGGTACCTTGTGAAAACGCAGTGACAAATGTAAGCCTGTAATCTTTATTCATTAAATATTTTCTATTTATATGAATTGTTTTGCACTTGAAATAAAAATTCATTTTTATGCTATATTTATGAATTTCATTTTAACCAAAATTGTTTAAAATATTTACACCAACACTTATTTTGATGTTTGGGTTTATATTTAATATCTATTTAAAACAAAGTTCACATTTTTCAGACATGTTACATTTGTTGGTTTCTCTTCAGGTGTGCTGGCATATTTGCCAGTGTTGTATGTTTTGTGGGCATCGTAGACCAGAATGAATAAGATGCCAGTGTTTTTGTGTTCTGCTGCTTTAAACAATAAATAAGTTCAGTTGTGAACCACATCTCCCTGAGCTGAGTTTTATTTACAAATGTACTTGTTAAGAATTTTTCTCACAAATGATGGTCTAGAATCTAGACTAATATTTCCTCATCAAACCATTTGTTTTAGATTCATCAGGTTAGATATGAATCTAATGAGATAAAATGAAATTGTAACATTAGCTCAGGTTCTAATAACTGTGTCACTTGTATTGCTTATTTACCAGCATTAATTATTATCTTGTCCACTAACAAAGGGGTTTGTTTTGGAGTTTAAAGCAGTAATCTGGAGGTTCCCCTTTCAGGAATTTTTTTTCTTCTTTTTTTTTTTAAACCTGCACTGATAAAACGTTGTGCCATATGAATTGAGCGCCACTCAGCATTAGCCAATAACGCTAGACATCTGCTTAAGTACAGATGTTAATCACAAAGCATGTGCACTTGTTTGCAAAACTACCGCACTGTTGTAAGCAGCATTGCTGTCCTGTTTACTAGGCTTAAGCAGTATCCAAATTTTAATACCGTCCAACTTCCTCCACATTTTACCAAGGTATACAGTATTACCAGGAATAATTTTTAAATGATGACGTAACCCTCAAGTGTGACTACCAAACAGTTGGTTTGGAATGTCACCGTTCAGAAATCAAATAACAAACACTATTACTAAAACAATAACAACATAACACACATATTATTAACAACTTTAAAAAAAACGCAGGTCATTAAAAGATTATTCGCCTGAAAAACCAGCATGTTTACAGTGTGGATCACAAAGAGACTGGAATGATTCCAGTATGTTTGCGTGATTTTTAGCTTTAAACTTCAGCTTGTCATGGTCTTTCTGCGTCTCACCTCATGTGTCTCCTTTTGTCCTCATTCGTCTCTAGGTGCTCCTTTTGTGTCTTCTAGCGCCCTCATGTGTCGTGTCTGCGTCTTCCTCATGTGTCTCCTGGTGTTCCCCATTTGCCCTCTAGGTTTCCCCCCTCAGACTTCCCTCTCCCAGGTCCTGTGCTCTCTTGGCCCCCTCTTAGCCACGCCCCTGTAGTTTCTTTCTGTAGTGTTTTCCTTTAGTGTCAGCTTCCCCTTAGAATATTAGTTATGGTTCATGCCTTCTGGTCTTTTGTTTTTCTCTTAGGTCATTTTTCTTTGTTACATCCTTTCATTATTTAGTGTGTTTTTTCCCACCAGTGTTTTCTTCCTCCTCCCTGATTTAGTAATTGTGTTCACCTGGTCCCTCTCCCCACACACCTGCAATTCATCTCCCTCTCATCTTCCCAGTCTATTTAAGCCCTGTCTTGTCTCTGTGTGGTTGTCGGTCCATTGTATTGTTGTCCGCGTGTGTTCGTGCTCTTAGTGAGCTTTTTGTCTCTAGGTTTTTGGTGCTCTAAGAGAGCTTTGGGTGTCCAGTTCTCCAGGACTTTTGGACTTTTGGCTCGCTGCCTTGGATTTATTTTTGTTCTTTTATCCTGCAAAATAAAAGGATTTTTACTTTGAACCAACTTCTGCCTCTTGTCGTCTGGGTTATCTGCATATTTGGGTCCTAAACATCCCCACAACGTGACACAGCTCAGTGAATTTGACTGAATTTGATCAGTTTTTGGACCAGTGTCAATATTTTCAGGAATTTTTCCTGATCACATCTCTAAGGATGGCTAAGACTCCAGGTCAGGGCAGAGGTCCCACCTCAAGTGGGGGAGTCATCAACACATATACTGGACAATTCGTTTCCATAGGCTCCAATAATACGTTTTTTAGCCAAAATGGGAGGACAATTCCACAAAAGGGAAAAGAGGTGGAGCTGAGGGTGTGGCTGTAAGGCTGGGATCAAATGACGACACCTGTCAAACTGAAGCAATGTAGCTACAAGCTAACCCAAAGCCAATGGAGGTAGCTACCTAGCAACAACCGGAGTTAACTGTGCACAACACCGGAACTTCTGAGTCACAGATACGCCGGGCTGACCGCTGGGTAAAACAGGGTAGAACACAGAGGTCTCCCGAGTGCTCCACAAGCCGGCAGAGGCGCAGCAGACAGGCACCGCTGCGATCAGAGATGCGCCGAGCTGCCGCTGAAGGGAGGGAGTCCAGACCGATAGTCGGAACCCAGCTCCACCAACATTTCATATTTCAACCCATTTTCAAAAATGCAGCGTTATGTTAAATGCACTGGGTTTTATCCTATTACATTTAAATTTCATGGTTAAACAGTACATGTTAAAATCTAAGCTCAGCTCGGCAGTGACCTAAAATACATAAAAATAATTTTACTTACCGAAAAAAATGAAGTGGAGACTCCTTGGATGCTCTATTAGTGCAATTAATGCCACAGCAAGTCTCTTTGTCCAACAATTGCACAAATAATATCCAAAAACGATTGCACAAACGCTACAACTAATGGTCTAAGTTGAGAGACTAAAAATCGCGGAACAGTTTTCAGGCGAGGCTCAGGCTGAGGCCTTTCTACGGAGCTAGCTCTGCAGTCATGTGGGTCTGATGCTCATTAATTATTCAGAATTTTTGGCATTTAATACACTTAAACAGAGGAGTGACAAAAAAATTCACCCCCCTCAGAGTTGTCATGAGTGCAAACTATATCTATTAAACCTAAAACATGTTTTGGATCCAGGCTGTAAACATGTTTATTTCTGCTGTGAAATTGGTATTTTTAACATGGGAGTCAATCATGATTTGCTCTCTTCTGACACCAGCCCCCAGCGGATGAGGGTGGAACTGTAATTGATTTCACTTCCATGTAGGCTTCATTTTCAGACCCGGATTATGGGGACTTGGGGGGAGTTTAAGTATCATGAGCGTGGGAAAGATGGAGCAGCCGGCGGACCAGGACAGGTTTTATGATTCGGACACTAAACTAGTCTGTTCTGGTGAAGAGGGAGGGAAGTCAGAAAGTAAGGCTCTCAGTTTACTGGGCTATCTTTGACCCAATCATCATGGTCATGAGCTGTGGTTTATTACAGATAGAACAAAATCACATGTACATTGGACCCAAATGAGTTTTCTCCATTGAGAAAGACTCAGATTAGGGCCACCGCTCCTCCATGTTGATAGGAGCCAGCTGAGGTGGTTTACACATGCGAAGAGAATGCTGGTGTCGGTACCAGATCTGCTCGGGGTCCAATGTCTGGCAAATACGTCACAGTAGATGCTTGAACGACTTATGGAAGTTAAGATACCACGTTCATAAAAGTTACGTTAGCACGTTGACAATGATGATTTTGATTGGTCAGAATGAATTTAGGGTTGTAGTCTTAGCGGTTGTAGTCCTGTAGTCTAAAAATCAACACTTTTCTGAGAAAATATGTGTGAATTTCCAAAGGAAATGTAAAATAAATGCAAAGATAAACGGTGACCCTCAAAGCTCTTGATTTTGATGAAATGGGGCAGAATAAGATATAAGAATTTTATTGAAAAGGCACCAAGCTACATTTTGAATGAATGAATGGATGTATTACTAAGGAAATATACAGATGAATTCCACATTAATACAAACAGACATGGCTTCACATATAAGAACTGTTGTCTTTTGTTGCAGTCTGATGCTGGTGTTATGTAGTTTCACATTCTTTACAAAACAAAGATAATATGGTGTTTTATTGACAAATTACAATTATAAAGAAAGCATTTAGGTGGTAACAAAGAATAATTTATTGACAAAACTGCTGATATCTTTCCAAAACTTATGTGCGAAAGCCGAGTGGACTGGCGCAGGACACTGAGCAGATCTGGTTCCGACACCGGCAGGAGGCCCCTGGGTCGACCCCGAACACGTTGGAGGGACCATCTCTCCACGTTAGCCAGGGAATGCCTGGAGATCCTGCTGGTGGGGCTGGTGAAAGATGCTGAGGAAGAAAAATACTGCAGGCGAAACCTGGCAATGATTTACAGGCCGACGGTTTTCATTTCCTCTCTTCTACTAAAACTGAAGGGGTTACACGTGCACACATTTGTTTATTTTCATTAGGCATAATAAAAAATGGGCATTGCCCCAGGAGAAGAGTCCAAGTAATATTGTTGTTGCTGTGGAGAATATAAACTCACGTACAACCATTTCCTCTATTTTTGCTCCTTGGATCATTTGCATAACTCCCCAGGGTAGAAAAACATTAAAGTCTATTATTAGAGAGCTTATTATTGAACCAAAATTAGATAAATAAATTAGCTGTCTTGTCTTCAACCGCTATCTGGAGCCAGTAAGATGTCATCATGTATTTATTCTACTTCTCTTTTGGCCTAGGACACAGAATCAATAGAAAACAGGAGGGATGCAAAGACTAACTAGCAAATGTGTTTATCAAGTATAAAAGCCTGTTTCTCTATCATCTGTCATGCTCCAGGTAGGACAACTTCAGGAGTCTCTTGCACTGATGTGGACAGTGCGTGAAGTGGAAAAAAAAAACAAGTGCAGCTTCTTCAATAATGGAGGAAGGCTTTTGCAGGTGCACACATGATAAGTCATCAATGAGGTCATCTGATGCTGTGCTGCTTCTGAACTGAGCTGAGTTCACGATAGCCAGGCTACTCAAGTGTTCTTGTGCCGTTAACACCCTCAGCTTGGAGAAGCTGTAACGAGAAGAGGTAGATTCACATCAAACTTCAGCATTGACCCTGTTATGACCAGAAATCCATCATACAAGCAGATTAAAATTTGTTTATGGTCTAAATGAGAAATTACACAATGAAATAAATTAATATTACGACCAAAACAACTCGCAACTAACTATAACTATAATTTTATATATACACATACATACATACATACATACATACACACACACACATATATTTAGAGAGAGAGAGAGAGAGAGAGAGAGAGAGAGAGAGAGAGACAGACATTGGAGGGTTTTCCTGCATAAACGACCTGTTTAAGGTCAAAGATCAGACATCCTCCATCAGGATGTTCTGCTAGAAAGTAAAATCCATCCCATCAATTACAGCAAGTGGTCCAGGTCCTGAAGCAGCAAAGCAGTCACAGACACCACTACTATGTCTAAATGTTGGTATGATGTGTTTTTTTTTTTGTGG